CTGGCACTGCAGAGCCATAGCTGCAAAGTTGCAATGGCATAGACACTGCAGAACCAGGGAATGGCATCCGCTTCTCCGCCAGAGCCGGACCGCAGCCCTCATGCCGCTGGCGGAGAAACGTCCGCGCACAACCGAAGCCTCCATCATTTGTTGCTTGTCTGGTTCTCTGGCATCGCCTCTTCGGGGTTCTCGAGTTCGAGCTTCGAGACGCCTTCGAGCAGTACTCCAGGCCACCGGCGCCCTCCTTGGACGAGTGGGGCACCCCGCTCGGCAGCGGGCGCGTGAGCCGCGAAATCATCGAGGCGATCACCTCCGAGGTGAGTCATCCAGATGTCTTCGACCTCACCGCGGCGCCCCCGCGATCTTCCTGCCTCTTGGGGCCTCCCCGGTGGCCCTCGTGGCCGCTCGAACAACTCGGCAATCGATGTTGACCCAAAGTGGGCTGGCTGGCCCAGACCTCCTGCGTGGAAATCGAAACAACCCGGGAGGTCCTTCGCGATTTCGGCCCCCGTCGGCTTTTCTTGAGGCCCAGGATTATCAAAACGGCTGGCAGCGAGGAGCCCGTCCCAGGGACGAGATCGATAGTTCCAGGGCCCACGTCGTGAAAACATCAGGACGCAGAAGGTCTGAGCCCTTTTCAGGTTGACTGGTGTTCAATCAGAAGGACATCGGATCTGCCGTAGATTCGACCTTTTTTCGGTACGGCTTTCTCATTGGGTGCACATTCCTGCTTGATCTGTATGTGCCGTGGTTTTGGACACTTGCACTGCCTGCCATGTGGCTTTGCACCATCATCCACCGTTTGCCGAAGAGGATCGAATGCAGGAATGTATCATTCTTGCTCTGCTGCTCCTCCTCATCGTTCCCCTCTGCTTCTCCCCTCGCCTCCTTGCCGCCTCGCGCTCCCCCGCTCCATTTCCCCTCTTCCTCCTCGTTGGTCCTCTTCCTCTTTCTGGTGGTGGTGGTGCTGCTGCTGCTGCTTGGGAGAAGCTGCAGCAACACTCACCTTTTGTCTCCCATCCCAGGCCGCGTATCTCTGCATTGGCTTGCCTGTGACAGGTTGGCTCGCTAAGCGTTTCCAGTTTGCGTGCAGTCTTTGCATTCAGTGTTTGTTCTCCCTCCCCCCGGCGGCGACAGTTAGGCATGCCATAGTGTTGTACATGTGTTTGAGTGCGCGTCGTGGTAACAAAGGCTTTGGGTTCGTCTGCACCTTGATAGCATGGCGTACCCCAGCCATCGCATTGCACATCGTAGCATCAGCGCAGCACGGCATCTCCAGACCGTAATATCATACCATCATGCGCACAGCTTTTCGTTCCATATAGTCATCCTACTAAAATGTTCGCCTTGCAGCCGTGCAACCGCTGGCGCCGCCCTCGCAACCCTCGCGAGGGGCCCGCCCACGGGTGGACAGCGGCTTCGGCCCTGACGCGGGCGGGTTTAGGGCTGCAACTTGGATCGCCCAGGGGCTCTTCGGGGCCTGCCCGTGCAGCCGTCGTGAAAAAACAGCTCATGTGAGGCGTTTGCCGCGTGACCACGATGCTGTCATCGTCACGGAGACGCACTCGACGCCGGAGGTCGAGGCGGTCAACTCCCGCGACGGCCAAGCCTACTTCGGCGAATTCCCAGCCTTCTGGGCGCATGGCCTCGCTGCCAGGGCGGGAGTCGGCATCGTTCTCAAACCTGCGTTCTTGCATCGATTTGCGCTTCGGGCCGATTGGCGGGTTCTGGTGCCTGGGCGGGCCCGCGAGCTGTGGCTCAATGGTGACATGGGCGACCTATCTCTGTTCGCCGTTTATTTCGCCACGGGCTCCAATGAGTGCGACAAGGAAGACGCCACAGCCAGGACGTAACTGCTGGGCACCGACATGCTCTTGTGGCGGAACGCAGCGTACACGCACCGCCACAATAGAGTCATGTCTCGGCTGGACCGGTGTTACGCCAACCTGTACCCAAGCTGTTACCTCAACGAGCGGGTCGGCACTGCAGTGATGGATTGGGTCCGCTCGGAGTCTCGCGGACAGCTTCTCAGCACGCACCTGGCTCTCTTAGCATTCCGTTCCATTTTGTCGCGGTCGGCCTGGAGTGATTGGGGTCGATGCTTGCCTCCAGAAGTGGGGCACTGCCAAGTTGGAAGGACCGCGTCCGGTTGATCTACGCTGATAGACTAGCCAACGACGGGAACGGCGTGGCCGCGTCAGCCTTCGGTCGTGTCCGGTTCCTGAAGGAGGCGATGGTCGAGGCGGCCGTGGGTCTTCAACGCGCTGCCCCGAGCGAGCTCCCGCGCGGCGATCTTGAGGGGCGCCTGTCTTGGGGGATGCGCGGCTTGCAGAGCGTCGAGCGCCAGGATCGCGACCTGCAGCTGAAAACGGTGGCGGCGCTTCCCGAGCTCGCCCCCTGCCTGGCGATGCGGCCCCTGGCGGCCACGCGGTTCCTGCAGGATGCGGCTTGCGACTGCGCGAAGGCCCTGGCCAGGGCCCAGGTGAAAGAAGTGCAGACAGCGCGCCGGGCTGGCGAGCCAGAAGGGGCGCTCCGAGGACTTCGCCGCCGGGCGACGCAGACCCTCCGCCACCTCCGCCCGAGGGCGGAACAGGCCTTGTCCGCAGTCCAGCTGCCAGACGGCTCGGTCACCACGGACTAGCAGTGCGCTGACCCCACCCTTGTCTGACACTGGGCAAAACACTTCCGGACAAATGGGGCTTGGAGGCTGTCGCGCCATGGGTCGGGGAGATGCCGTCGCTTTCGGACGTGATGCCCGAGTGTGGGATAGCTTAGATGGAAGACGCCGGAAGCTTTTTTTACATCCTCGGTGTGTCTTATTTCAGGTTTTGTAGAGATTAACGCGGTTCTCCTCCCTTTTCGGGGCTCCCGCGCGCAGATCTAGCAGGCTGTTCGCAGCGCGTGGACATGGTTATTCCTCCTCTTCTTCTCCCTTTTCCTCCCTTCTCCCAGCTGGGCGTGGAGCGCCTGGCCCGTGCGCTGCGCATAGGCCCGCTGCCGCAGCTTCTGCATCGAGGTTGCGGGCGAAGAGTCTGTTCGCCGAGGGAGGTAAAAAAAACAAAAAACCGTTCCCTTCCGCCCTTTTCCGCGCACCCCCCCGCGCCATCTTCCCTCCCTCCCCCCCCTCCCTCCCGCCCCCCCCCTCCCTCCACCCCTCCCCCCCTCCCTTTCCCCCTCCATCCCTCCGTCCCTCCCTCCCTCCTTCCCGCCCCCCTCCCTCCCTCCAGCCCTCCCTCCTCCCCCTCTCCCCTCCCCTCGCCCCCCTCCCTCCCCTCCTGGAGGATGGGGGGAGGGGGGGAGGGGGGGCAGGCGGGAGAGAGGGGGGGGGGGAGGGAGGGATGGAGGGAGGGAGGGAAGGAGGGATGGGGAGGAGGGAGGGGGGAGAGGGGATGGGGAGGGAGGGAGGGGCAGGAAGGGAGGGAGGGGATGGCCCCCTTTTTCGGCTCGAGTGGGCGCGGACCCCCTCCGAGGTTTCACCCGAATTCGAATTCTCGCACTATCCGTTCCCGGCTTCTCGGGCGCGCCTGGACGGTTTCCCCCGGGGCCGTAGCGGACCCGAGGAGCTTCCCCAGGGTCAGTTTTTCATCCCGGGTTCGTTTTTGATGGTCCCGGGGCCCGAAAACGGCCCCCAGGGGCCGAAAACGACGAGAACCCCCCTCGAACTTCGAACCTCGAACCTCCACGAAAAATCCACGACAAATCGAGGAGAAGGAGGGGTCCGCTAAGCCCTTCGGGGAAACCCTCCAGGCGCGCCCCCCTTGCGCACCCAGCATGCAGCCCGCCCGGTCGGGCTTCGCGGCGGTGCAGAGGGCCGCCGCCGATTTGCTCCAGGATCTCGAGGGCACTCGTGGGGACAACTAAACAATCGGCCGTGCCGCGTCCGCTGCCCCTCTGGCGGCGAGTATTTTCTTCTGCCGGGTGGGCGCCCCCCACCGCGACGACGACGACGACGACGACGACGACGACGACGACGACGACGACGACGACGACGACGACGACGACGACGACGACAAAGCGACGACGACGACGACGACGAAGGCGACGGCGACGGCGACGGCGACGACGACGAGCGTGGGTGGGGCGAGACATCTGTCACGCTCGACTCTCCCCCTGGGGGCGGCGGGTCCTCGGACGAGCGCGGCCTGTCGCTCTTTGCTCGAGGCCTTGGCGGCCGAGTTCGACGATGCAGCTCAGGCGCTGTCTCGCGAATCAAACGATTCCCAGTCTGATTCGTGGTGGTCCGTCGCGCGTCGTCTCCGCCGCTCCCGCCCCTTCCCCCGTGGCCCCCAGCCGCGGGCACCCGCTTGCGGCTTCCGCGCCTTTTCGGGGCCCCAGAGGCGCCTGGGCGGTCTCGCGTCAGGGTCGCGCAGAAGTCGCGGCTGCAGCTGGTCGCCGACGTGCAATACCAGACAAGAGTCGGCCGTCTCCCCTCGCAGTCGCGGAGTGGGTGGAGGAGTGGGGGGAGAGAGGCACGAGGGCGTGGATGGGGCGGGCGGAGGAGAAGGGGGGGGGAACGGATTGCGATTATGATTATCGCGACGACGAGGTGGGACCCGAATCGGCTCGGATGTCGGTTCGGCGGCGCCGTCCTCGCCCACTCGTCGGCGGCGGCGGGGGGCGCCGACTCTTCCCAGAAACGTAGACGCAAAGACGAGAAGCGAGAACGCCAGGAACTAGAGCAAAGGATTGCGGGGAAATGCGGCAACCCGTGGCCCGCGCCTTCCTTTTCTTCCCCGCCTTTGTTCTATCTCTCCTGCTCCCCCCTTCTTCGTTCCCGCCCCTCCTCTCTCACTCCTCCTCCTCCTCTGTTTCCCGTTCCTCGGCCCCCCGCCTCGTCCTCTTTCGTCCTCGCGGTGCCCCTGGCAATTGTGATCCATCTGGGCCGCCCAAGGATGCGCGGTAGGATCAGCATTGGATGGTACGTGCGCGCGTTGCTCGCTCCGCCCACCCTGCCGATGGAACAGCTTGCAAGTATCCTCAACACCATGGGGGTCACAGAGAAGAGCCAGATTAGCAAACACTCGGTCGGCGTCGTCCGCGACGCAGGGGTTGAACTAATCAAGATTCTGGCTCGCGAGCGTCTGGTTTCCGAGTGGCGGAGGGCAGAGATGGGGCCCCCCGGGCTTCCGTTCGTCGTCACGCACGTCCACGACGAAGCCCACTTTCGATTGCGGTCGCAGGGGGAATTACGGACCTGTCGTCACGTGCGTGGTTCCTCTGCGACACAGTCGCCACCTACACACGTAGTAGTAGTAATAGTAGTAATAGTAGTAATACTAGTAATAGTAGTAGTAGTAGTAGTAGTAGTAGTAGTAGTAGTAGTAGTAGTAGTAGTAGTAGTAGTAGTAGTAGTAGTAGTAGTAGTAGTAGTAGTAGTAGTAGTAGTAGTAGTAGTAGTAGTAGTAGTAGTAGTAGTAGTAGTAGTAGTAGTAGTAGTAGTAGTAGTAGTAGTAGTAGTAGTAGTAGTAGTAGTCGTAGTCATAGTAGTAGTAGTAGTGCGTCGTGTCGCAGGGGAACGTCGCGGTCGGATGGCCTGGTGCGCAATTATCCCGAACGCAGGGCCAACCTCCCGACCGTGGAAGACTGTCGGTTCCTCATTCCCAGGGGGGCGCACATGTTGAGCCGCGCCCGGACCGGCGGCGAGTCAAACATTTGGGGCGGCCAGGCGCCCCGAATGGGGGCGCCAGGAGGGGGGTCGCCTTCTCAGAAGCCAGTGGGGGGGCCTTTTAAGAAGGTCAAGGCCCGGGGGGCCTTCTCAGAAGGCCCCTGCCTTCGTAGAACCCCCCGTTGGCTTCTCAGAAGGGCCCCCCCTCCTCGGCGCCCCATTCGGGGCGCGGCCACATCGCGGCGGCGGTGGCAACCGCCGTCGCGAAGCGTTGTCGCAGATGTTTGGTTTTGCCTCCAGGGGTTGCAGCGTCCAGAACCACGTGGTGCGGATATTCTTGGGCGACCAAGATTTGCCGTGGTTCACGGAACTCCAGCCTCTCAGCACCAAGAGTGCCGCCACCATCGCCACGTCGATTATCCAGGTTGTCGAGGGCATGCTCGAGGCCGTCGGCATCGACGACCGGGCCGAGCCTTTGCAGCTATCGGCTGTGCCCGCGACCGCGCCCCGCCAAACATCAGGTGCCCATTTGCTTTACCTTGCGCGCGGGGCGATCCTCGGAGCCCCCTCGAGATTCGCCTCGGGGCGCTGTTCAAGGGGAGGGCGTTGACGCCGCGCGTGGCCCTGTCGTGGGCCCAGTGGTTTTCGTTCACTTAGTCACTGGCGATGGCACCAATGCGAACCCGGCCGCCCTTCGCATCGTCCTGGCGTATTTTCTCACGCAGTACCCGCATCGACAGAAGCTCAGGTATCGCAAAGCTTCTGGCAGGGCGTCGGGCCCCCGCCGCACCCGCGTCACCCTCTCACCCACGTTCCGGACACCTTTCGGGGTGATGGCAAGCCGAGCGGTCGCGCAGTAGCGGCCTAGAGGCAACCCGTCCACCCCCCTCAACCTTTCCTTTTTCCCCTCTCACACTCTCTCTGTGTTTCCCCCATCGCTCCGTTCTCTCTCTCTCTCTCTCTCTCTCTCTCTCTCTCTCTCTCTCTCTCTCTCTCTCTCTCTCTGCGCGGCACCGCTTCGTTTGCCGCTGGCGCCGGCCCACGCGCCTGCGGCGCGGCGCGCTGGCCCCGCCGACCGCAAGACCCTCGTGTGTCTACTTGTGCGCGCTCTCTCTCTCTCTCTCTCTCTCTCTCTCTCTCTCTGTCTCTCCCCCCCCCGCCCCCTTCCCTATCATTTCCCTGTGCCTCTCTCCCCCTCCCCCTCCCCCATCCTTCCCCCCCCTGTCCTCCTCCCCCCTGCCCCCCTCCCTCCCCCTCCCCCTCCTCTACCCCCCTCACCTCTGTCCTTGCCCGCCCATGCCTCCCTTCCAAATGTTATGGGGGTGGCCGAGTGGGAAGGCCCGCTACGACGCTCGAGTTCCAATTGTTTTGGGAGTGGTGGAGTGGGCAGGCCCGCTGCGACGCTCGAGATCCAAATGATATGGGAGGTGCGAGTGGGGCGGGGTCGCTGTCTCGCGCGTGCCACCGAGCCATGACTCCCCGCCCGGAGAGGGGATCGCGGTCCGCATGCTGTCGTGGATTTGCGGATCCCACGCTGGCAATTTGGTCACAGAGGCTGCCGTCACTGCTTCTCGGAAGGGGAACGCGTTGGCGGCCACATGCGTGAGGCTGTTCAAGTACGTCATCCCCATGTACTCGGACCAGCGGGCTCAGAACTTGAGGGAGTTCGCAGCAAAGGTGGTCATTCGGAGGGGCTGCCCTGACGCTCCTGGCGCCCGCGCGGACAACAGCGTGCGCCTCTTGTACGGTGACGACGTGTTCCCGACCAAGCTTCGCGACATATTGAACGTGGACATGCGGCAGCTGCACCACTTATCGACGACGCGCGAGACAGAAACCGAAATCCGCGGTAGATTATTCGCCTCGTTGCACGATAGCGTCCTCGTGGTCGAGGAGCGCCCTGTGGTCACCAGATTTTGGCTGTTCGCTTCGGCATGTTTTTCTCTCCTGCGATTCAAGATGCTGGGGATTCCAGCCTCGCTGTTCCGACCGTGCGGCGTGCGGACGCAGAAAGTTAACTCGAAGAGGCTGGACAGGGTGATCGCGTGGTACGACGACCCAGCCTGCGATGCCGATCTGCGCCGGGCGTGCGCGTGTCTCCGCATCTCCCAGCTGGCGGTTTCACTCACGGCGCAGAAACGCAAGGACGGCAGCTCTCCAACAGGCACAGACGCATTGCCCACTCTAGTGAAGCTCGCCCAGGGAGAGGTGCAGCGCAGGACGCGGGCGCAACTCCTCGATATAGTGCCGCTGCTGAAGCACGACGCCGCTATGGACGAAGGGGGCACCCTAGTGTCTCTGCTGGTGACGCAAACGCACGTGGAGGCGCGGTTCAAGGACTACCAATCGTTTCCTGCCTGCCTGTGGCGGCTGACGAAGAAATGGAACCTCGCCCATTGCGACGACGAAGCAGTCGAGTTTCTGCATTTGGATTCCGACGCGTTGGACCTGGGCTACTCCTACCCGCTGCAGCAGGCTGCCCTTGCCCAGGGTGAATTCTTTGAGGCGATCGACTACCTGATGAGCGACGCTGTGCAGGCCGAGTTGGTATCCATCTTCGAGAAGAGCGAACCCACCTCCTTGGACGGGGAGCGACGTCACAACCAAGACAGATCCAGCTGCCGCAATCACCGCGTGATGACAGTGTCGAGAGGGTCTCGGAATTCTACTTTGCAGAGTTATCGTGCATGGAGGCTCACGGCGTTGGCCAACAGGCAACGCAGGGAAAAACTGGCAGTCCGTCTCCGACACATGAACAGGCGCGCGCTCGTTGTGTCCGACAACCCCACGCTGTTCCCGCGCGCCCGTGGTAAGAGAAGGCAGGAGGGCAAGGTGCCCAAGAAGGAGCAGCGCAAGATCGTCCACGCCGGCGACAACGCCCGCCTCCGCGAGCTCGCAGAGCAGAACAGGGGCGAGTTGGACGCGCGGGCGAAGCGGCTCCGCGAGCTCGGCAAGCAGCTGGGGAAGCACCGCATGGCGGAGGCGAGCTTCCTTGTGACGAACCAGGAGTGGGTGTCTTTGCTGGAGTCTCGGCGGGAGTTGTTCGACTCTCTGCTGCGGAGCGCCACGCGGGACCGTCGCGCGGCGCACGGGGAGAAGCTGGTGGCGCCACCGCAGTTGCATGAAGCGTATCGCCTGTACCCAGCGGGCCCGAAGATGCCGCCCTGGGCGGCGGCCGTCACGAAGAAAACTGGGCCGTTCTACGCGTTCCAGGCGACAGGCGGGCGCGTCACTCTTTTCTTTGCAGTTCGAGTGGGGTCGCACGTGTACGAGCTGCCCTCCACGGAGGTCGACGCCGACGGGCCAGCGATTGCCATTGACATGGCCAACTGTTGGGGAGGTTTGCGCCACTGTTCGGCGATGCCCGTGCCGGAGGGGAACTTCACCGTGTGGACGCTCACCGTGGACGCTGTCGTGCAGGGCAACATGTGCATTGCCAAACTCGTGGACGCGAAGCTCGTCCCAGAGAGGGCGCGGAAGCGCGACGCCGCGGCCGACGAGGAGGGCGCGGAGGCGGACCTTGCCGGCGACGTCTCCGACGAGGACCCTGCGTCGGAGCCTGCCAGCGATCTTGAATCGGACGGCGCCGAATCCCTCGTGTCCGAGATCGAATCGGGCTGCGAGTCGGCCGACGGGGAGGACGCCGGCGCCGCCCCTCCCTCGGAGGGGGAGGGCGCGGACCCTGATGGGGTCTTGAAGGGAGGGCCTGACAAGGCCAAGCCTGGGACGTGGTCTGTGTGGAGCAATGGGTATTGGACTTTGACCAACAACGCTCACTACCCGAATGCGAAGGTCATACTGCATCCGCGATGGCGGAAGCCGTCGCAGGTCGGGCGGGGCCGCGGGCCAAACTAAAAAAAAAGAAGGAGGAGGAGGAGGAGGAGGACGAGGAGGAGGAGGATGAGGAGGTACTCAGTTTTGATCCCGCCCCGGTTCCCGACCGCCGGAGTGCCGGTGCCCGGAGGCCCCTCGAGTTCCCCGGAGGCCTCCGGGGGCCGAAAAAGACAGAAAAAAAAAGCGAAAATGTACGAACAACTCTCGGGAAATTCCCGATCGATCCGTGGGGGTCGGGGGCAAAGGGAGGAGGAGGAGGAGGAGGAGGAGGAGGAGGAGGAGGAGGAGGAGGAGGAGGAGCGGGAGGAGGAGGGGGAGGCAGGGACGGGGTGGAGGGCGAAGGGCGGGGGGGAACGGGCAGATGTGGAAGGGGAGTCCTGTGGCCAACAGGCCGGGAAGACCGAGACTTCCAAGACGATCAACTTCGCCCACTGCGAGGGGGAGGCCCCAGCGGGCGTCGACGCGGCGCGGGCCCAAAATCCTCGATGACAGTTCCGCCCCTGATTGGCCATCCGCCGGCAGCGAGACCTTGGATTCATCCGCCAAGCAGTGCTCGGAACCCGGATTGGCCCTTCCCCCCGAAGGGCGCGTCCAGTCAGCCCCCCTGGAGCTCCGTCTGGCGTCGACGTCTGCGTCGGCAGGCACAGACTTACTTGGCGCTTCGTGCGTTCATGCTACACAGGAGCGCTGAGAACAATTGGCACAGTCGCAACGCAGCCCGGGCTGCTTGGCATGCTCGTGAAGCACGTCTTCTGAAGCGGGACATCCAGGATGCTTTCCCTCTGTGTGAAGGTGCCCGTGAACGGGTGGCTAGGTGGTGGCCCGCCGCACTGGCTTGACGCGGGGACCACTGCTGTGGGCGACTCGAGCGCGGCTGGCCCTCCAAAGTCACGCCGCCCGCAAAATGCCCCGCAAAATCTCGCGCAACATCTCCCGCAAAATCCAACTAAATCTCACTAAATCCCACTAAATCCCCCTAACCCCCACTAAATCTTGCAAAATCTGGTTTTAGTGTGATTTAGTGAGATTTAGTGGGATTTAGTGTGATTTAGTGAGATTTAGTGGGATTTAGTGGGGGATTTTTCGGTGATTTTGTTGGATTTTCCGGGCGTTCGTGTGGGATTTTGCTGGGTTTAGTGGGATTTAGTTGGATTTAGTAAGATTTAATTCGATTTAGTTGGGGATTTTGCGGGGTGTTTTTGCGGGGATTTAGTGGCATGTTGCTGGTGTTTTGCGGGGATTTTGGAGCTCAGGGGGCGGCTGCGCTTGCACTGAAAACACTTCTCTCGCGAGGGCGGCCCCCCGAGTCGCACGGGCTGCCCTTCTCCATCCTCCCCTGCTCCCCTCCTCTCGTCGTCGTCGTCGCCCTCGTCGCTGCGGCCGCCGCCGCCGTCGCCGCCGCCGCCGCCGTCGCCGCCGCCGCCGTCGTCGTCGTCGTCGTCGTCGTCGTCGTCGTCGTCGTCGTCGTCGTCGTCGTCGTCGCCGCGGCCGCCGCCGCCGCCGCCGCCGCCGCCGTCGCCGCCGCCGCCGCCGCCGCCGTCGCCGCCGTCGTCGTCGTCGTCGTCGTCGTCGTCGTCGTCGTCGCCGTCGCCCCTGTGTGGCTGGCGCTACTGGCCAGCTCCCCGTCCAAGTCTGCGCTGAGGGGCTAACTGATCCTGGGGCGGTTGAGCGCGTCGGGCTGGGCGCCTCGGGGGCGGCGATGGCGCTGGCCAAGCTGGCGAAACCTGAGCAGGATGCCCTTAAACTTTCTGCCGTCCTGACCCGCCGGATCCTGCAACCTCTTCGGACGATTCTGGTTTCCTGGATTTTCCGCCGGGGCAGAGGCCGCCAGGAGTTCGCAATTCCTGGGGGCCTCCGGGGTCCCGTCGAGGCCCGACCGCCCCGAAGCCATCTGCAGAGGATTGGGTGCTATCG